GGTGGGGGTGGGGGTGGGGAAGAGGGAGAATTTCACTGGTGCAGTGCTGCTGCTGCCAACTCTGACACAAGGGCAAGAATGAATAGCTGAGGGCAAGAATTTCTTGCTTTGCTGCTAAAGTTAGTGTCTTATGAAGTTACAACTTGAGAAAACTGATGGTCAGTTACTTGCAGAGTGTCATTGCTCTGAAAGACTTCAGGGGTTTTTAACCTTAAGACTGTTTTTTAATCTTAAAACTGGTATGTTTTAACCACAAAAGTCACTAGGACAGGAAGAATGATGGAGGATATTATATTTTTGGGTGTATTTGCATATGAGTTTGAAACTCGTGTATTTCATGGATTGATTTTTGTGCATGTTTAAAAAGATATATTCCTATTTATCTAAATTTCTCTGTGCTTCAGATGCAAATTAAGTATTAAAATTCGCAACCCCATAGTGTAAGAATACCATATGATGTTTTGTTTTGGTTGTATCTTTTTTTTTAATGAAGAATTCTGATTTCTTATTATTGCAAAATGTTGTATTTGCCCTGGTAACCAGAGTTGAATGCAGTTGCATATAGCTACTTGGTTATGTTAGACTTGCTATAAGCTTTGATGACTACTTCTGAGTTTATCCTCTCTGTATCTCTTAGTTTTGTTCTTTTTCTTTTCTAATAGTAAATTAGGCTGAGATGACTCTAGTAATAAACTTGTACAAATAGCAGTTATGTTTACATTTTACTGAAGTTCTGCGTTCATATGACAGGAGAAGAATTTGGATGATAGAGCGTACCGTAACATCCAGGAGCTTGAAACATATGCTGAGAACACTCAGAGTGCTCTCTTGTACCTCATCTTGGAAACGCTGGGTAGGTGTTTTCCCCTTTTTAGATTTTATTGATGATTCATTAGTGCGGGTACAATATTTACTGATGTTTCAAAAAGCCCACTCTTTTTCCACTGGAGTTTAATCTCAGTAGAAGTTGTTTTAGGTAATACTTCAGATCTCTTTTGAATGCTCAACCGTAAATCTGGAATCTTACTGCACCTATCCTAGAACTACACACTTTCCGTAAAAACTGCTCAGGGAAAGCTCATTGAAGTGTGGTTTCCTACTGCTCTGTTTTTTGTTGCTTTGTTTTCTCTTTTCTTGCTCTTATTACAGCGTGTGGTAAATTCAGCTCTTCACCATATTTTCAAATTTTTCCGCTTAGAACACAAAATGCTGTAGTCATTCTGCAGCTGTTGTTCTGTATTGCACTGTTGTACACAGGTTATCTTGAAACAGCTGATTTCCCAACCTATAAACTTTTCTTGGTGATGTTGTAAATTTGTTTCTGAATACTCTCCTCTTCCTAAAAGTGGTTTAACTATCATTAATAGAATAGCTAGAAAAATACAGTGAAGATGATATGATCCTTGTGGGTAAGAGCTAGTATCTGTATCTTATTTAATACTAAGAGTCACAGACTGGGAAAGAACTGTCCATTTGCAGTGAAGAAGAGGGTAACTTTCTTTTAGGTGTCTGTTGCATTGTGAAAGTATTTCCTGTATGAGCTCAGATGTGAAAGAAGGGTGAGAATAATTATTATTTAGTAGTATTTAGTATTGTAGTAGCAAAATTTTCCTTTTCCTTATCAGAGGAGTCTGATGGAAGGCCAATGCTGAGGTTAAAAGAGTTTAAAAAAAAAAAAGAGAGAAGTAGAAAGAGAGATATGGTGAGCACATTCTTCTTTGGTAGAAATAAGGAACCTATCTCTTAACATCTGATATTTGCTTCCTCAGCAGGAAATCAGTGAAATGTTGCATGTGTCTTTCTGAACTTCTAATTTAAGAAATGTAGGAGTATGAGAAATATCAATGTCTTCCATTCTGAGAAATGTATTTGATTCTGAAGAAGTTCAATCATGCTTGGGTCACTTCTGATACAAGTCAGATGATCCTGTTCTTGAAAATCTGTTAGGGGGGCTCCAGATTTTCTAGGTGCCCTATTGTCATGCTTAACTTCTCTTGAATATACTGGTGTAACAAAATACCTAAGCAAAAGTCTCCTTTACTGCATATTAAACAGTTAACTTCTGTGTTTTTTTTCCACAAATGGAGCAATTAATTGAACGCAGCCTTTTTCTTGGTGTTTCCCATTTAGTCTTTTCTAGACTAGGTGGACCTGGTTTCATTACAGGTCATGTTTTCTAAATTTCTTATGTTTTTCTTTTTCTTTGTTCCTGAGCTGTCTCCAGTTTGTGTGTATATCTCCCAGTAGCAGTGCTGCTTTATTCTTACTGGCTTTGGGTTACTTATTTTGTCAAGCTCATTTTGACTGGTAATCTTGTCGTCCAAAATCCTGGTATTTTCTCCCAGCTCCTATCATTTAAGAATATTAATATTGTGCTCTCTGATTCACTGCCTAAGTAGTTATGAGTCTGGTACAACTCAATAATTTTTTTAAACCTTTACAGAACCTCACTTTTGGGATATATTCCCAGGCTGAGCATGAATCATGCTAACTCTTACTCCTTGAGCTTTTTTTTTTTTTTCATTCCTAGTTATATGTAAAGCCTGAACTGCCCAGTCAGTATCAGTAAGTTATATCCATTTATTCCTCCAAGCCACACTCTGCTTTCTGCTGCCATTGCCAAAATAATTCCATGTAGTCTACCTACAGCCACTGTTTCGCAAAGGCTTCTGTGACCTATGCAAGGCTCAGGCAGGCTTGGTCAGTGAATCTGGTATGGCCAGTATCGTTTTCAGGTGTTAGTTAGGCTCATTGGTCTGTAATTCCTGTATCCTTATTTCTTTCTTCGTAGAATGCTGCTTCTGCTAGAGCTCATATGAATTTCAATTATTTAAATTTTCATTTTATCCTGGGTCAGTCCTGTGAAAACATTATGGCTTTATGATCAGCCAAAGCCAACCTTGTATGGTCTTGCTGTGAAGAGCAATGGTGCTGCTCTGCCGCACTCATCTCCCTCTTCTTTCAGTTCTCACAGTTGGGTGACCATGCAGTAACTAAAGTTAGTTTTCAGTTACTTTGGGGATCTGATTCAGTTTGCCATGCTACTGCCTCATTGCCCATGACAGCACAAAGGAGGTGGCAGAAATACGGGTTTGGTGGGGAAGTGTAGTACCATTCTCTTTGGCTTCAGTACATGCTGAATCAGCTGCGGCTAATCATGAAACCATGCTCTAAGTATTAATGCTTTTCAGGAATCTCACACTTGAATGATTTTTCTGGCAGGAATAACAGTTCTTAGAATACTGTTATCCTCGGAGAGGACATGCCAACGAAAATGAGTTTGTGTACTGATATATTATATCTGAATAGATGCTGCTCTGCTAAGTATATGCTTTGCAGAAGCTACAACAAACTAAGGTATCTTACTTCTGAATGTGGAAATCAATGAATTTTCCTGCTGCTTTGCCCCTCTGAGATGAGATCTCAAGGCAATTTTTGAACATAGACAGTTCTGTCGTGGACCAATGCACTTAGATTTCCTTAAATATGACTGTGATACACATCAGGGAAGACTATACCCCTCAAAAGGCCTGACAGTATGTTTCTAAACATATTATTTCTGCAATTTTAGGTGTGAGGGACATCCATGCCGACCATGCAGCCAGTCACATTGGAAAAGCCCAAGGCATAGTTACCTGTTTAAGAGCAACGCCATATCATAGTGCAAGACAAAAAGTCTTTCTTCCCATGGACATTTGTATGTTGGTAAGAGAAGCAAGTTGTCTGGAATTAAACAGTATAGTGTTTCTAACTGTCTCTAAGTGCTAGATATGAGATCATAATTTATTTGGCCAGAAACAGAACACCTTTTTTCTTTAATTTACTCTTTCTGCTGTGGTTTAGTAATATGCCATTGTCATGGTTTTTATATCTTTGGGGAGGTGAGAGGAGTGACCTTTATGAAACTATGGTTTCAGGTGGTGTTTTATTTTTTTATTAAATGTAGTACATTTTAGCTTTCAGAAATTTTTCCATTAATGTGCAGAAATACATGTATGGAATGGGGCTTGGGTTTGGGATTTTTTTTGTTTTGTTTCCTTTTGCTATCCCTGTAAAGGAAGCAGTATAAGAAATTATATTCTGAACAGTCTTCTCAGCTTTCTCTTTGCTACCTTTTCATAAATGTGCTGGTGGGTTTGTGGGTTTTTGGGTTTGGGGTTTTTTTGGTAACATATAAGCATACACTGCATACCTTGCTGTAGGAGATGGTGTAGTACTCCAATTTAAACTGTACACCTAATTTGCATTGGAATTTAGCAGATCTTGCAATTATAGTAAAATGAGATTAAAACTCAGAATTTTTTTCATTAATATTCTCTGCCTAGATCTGTAGGCATCTCAGCTGTTATTTATTCCTTCATCTCCAGTCTTTAAATGTTAATGCTGTTCTTTTTATATACGTAACCAAAATTCATGTAATTATGGTGATGCTTAAGGCAGTTGTGTTAGTATTTTCTGAATATCATTTCAATACGATTGAAAGTTTACTAATTTAAGTAGTTGCAAAAAAATGTAGATAGTAATATAGGTCAGGGTTATAAAACTGCAGAAAGGAGCTGCACCCTGCTTTCAGCCCTTCTGGGACTGGATGGTATGGGAGTCCTTCCAAGTTTTTAGCTTTTCAAACATAGCCTGAAAATTCACAGTCATTCCTTGCCATGGAAGGTGTTTTACAGTGAAACTGTAAAAACAGCTTGGATCCCTTCTGTGCAGAATGAGCATCTTGTAAGCATTTCAGCTGCTGGCATGTATCACAGAGTTCTGCCGGAGTCTATCTCCTGTGAAGTCTACCTGCCTACCTTTGTACAGCTTTCACATGTTTGAGTGTTGCTGAGAACAACAGACAGTTGGTGCAATTCTGAATATAGCATGTTATGTCTTACATTGGTCACTATGGTCAAAGACTTAAATTTGTTGTTGTTGTTGGGGGGGGGCTTGGTGATTTGGGTTTCTTTGATTTGGGTTTTGGGGTGGGTTTGTTTGTGTTTGGGATTTTTTTGTTTGTTTTTGTTGGGGTTTTTTTGGTTTGTTTCTTTTGCAAGCCTGGTGGTCCACATCAAACCCAAAATAATGATTTACTTCATAAGCCAGCATGGCTTCTGTGTTAGCTGTTACTGGCTTGCTTCTGCTTCATACTGATTCTTGGATTAGAGTTCAAAAATTGGTCATCTAAACTGATCTAAATTCCCAAAACTTTAAAATCTGACTTGGTTTATCTGAGTGACAACAGAGTTTTTAGGGAACAAATTCATGCAGAGAGAGTCTGTACCAACTGTTCCCTTTGTTCTCTTGAATTTTTTTCCAAGTGACTGACAAAAAGGGAAATAAAAAAGGAGGGGGCAGTGGTAAAGGCTGTTTCGGTCTTGTGTCATTAGTTTGATTGCAGGGACAGGTTTTGAGAAGCTAAAATGGAAACTTGATATTTATTGAAGGTTTTCTTCTCTTTTTGATTTTTCTTCCTATGTCTAGCATGGAGTTTCACAAGAGGATTTCATAAGAGGCAAGCAAGAGAAAAATGTGAGAGATGTAATTTATGACATTGCCAGCCAGGCCCATATTCATCTAGAACATGTGAGATTCCTTCCCTTTTATTTATTTAAATAAATGTAATTGATGCTAATCTTCACAAAGCATTATGCATATGTGTTGTGAGAAGACTTACAGCTGCATGTTAATTTCAAATATTTTGCCTTTAATTACTTTGAGAGTTTAAAGTAAAAAAACCCCATCACACAAAATATCACACTTATCTGTATGTACAGGAGGCAGTTTACTTGCAGCCAGGTCCAATTGCATATATATAAATACTGCCTACAAGCCTTATTACTAGGAGAGAAACTTCAAGCAGACTTTTATAAATGCAACTATATGCCAGCATGGGATCAGCACCATAGAAAGCACTTCTGCAAATGGTGTTTCACAGCACCGTGGAATGGCTGCCAGGAAAGCAGAGCATGTTGCCTTTAACTGCTGGTTAGTGTGTGTGGGAGGAGGATTCATTCCCTAACATGACCAGCCATGCTCAGAGCTATGTTGGGAAAGGTGCTTTCTGTTTATTTGTTTTCTGGCTCACAGTCAAGTAAATTAGGAAAGACTTTATTTGCTTGGAACAGTGGATAATGACTGCTGAAGAACTGCAGAGTCCTACTCCATTTTTCTTTTATGCTCATATTTTCATTACATTCTGAATTGCTTGTTGGTACATAATACAAAAGCAAAAGAGTGTTTCATCAGCAGTGCTGTGTCTGCCTTTATCTGGAGAACGAAACTTGCAAGAAGCACTGTGAAGAGTTTCTTATGTCTACAAATACATGTGCGCATATACTTTGAGTATTGCACCCAATACTTCCATTCAAGGTAGTCTGAAAAGATAGCACTTCAAAGTAAAGAAATGCCAGATTTATCTTTGCATTTACACCATTAACATAATCCTCAGTTACAGCATTACCTGTGATCACAGTATTTTATGCTGTAGTGACAGGAGAACTCTTCATTTTTCTGAAGGTAAAAATGAGGCATCTCTGTTTTGTTCACTTGGTCGTTAGTTGATTCATGTTTTTATTTTTTGTTAATAATATGTGGCCTTGGGCTTTATTTTTAATATGGACTATTTATAATTTGCATTGACTGCATTCCTGTTTATGTTGTTTCACCTGATGTCTCAATTTTTGTTGTCATATGCCCAGGGAAGCTTTTTTTTTTTTCCATTTAGAAGCAGGGGACAGAGACAAAGAAAATGTAACGTCAAAACTGTCCACTATCTTTGTTCAAGCTGAAATATTTTGATTTTTCTTTTTTTATTCCCCACATCTCAGCCCATAATGCACAGTGTGTAAACCCTGTTGACTTTGGTTGCAATTGTGGCTTACAAAAATGCCAAGTGCCTGGCCTGAAATGCCTCACATCAGGGATGGGAGGCATGGAAAATGAGCAGTGTGTATTTATTGTCCAGATGTTTAAAATTTGGTTGCGGGTATTGCATGGAAACTTTGGGACAGAAGCAGGGAGAGAATTCAGTTTTCCAGAGCCTTTCAGATAATTGATAATGCTTAGTACATTGGTCCCCTGGCTCCCAACATGCCAATCAGCTCCTGAAGAGGGCAGAACCTTACCCCCACTTTCTTTCCACTCTGTTCCTAGAGCCCTGCCCATGTTATGCATTGGGAGGGTACTATGGAAAATATGCAATGTGATCATGTAATTGGACACTATACAGAAAAGTATAAACACAAGGGAAACAGATTAGGGCAGCATTTTATTCAATTGAATGTTGATCTTGGCACCCTCCCCCACCCTTTTTTTTTTTTTTTTTTTTAAATGGGTGGGTTATATCATCTTAATTCAAATTAAAAAATTATTCTCTGAATACTTGTTTCTAGCCTCCATCATCATCAGTGAAGAATAATTGACAGTGCAGGATTTCTAGAGTGTTTAAACCACTTGAACTGGCAATAACTGGCAGTAATAACAGGGTGTTAGGCTCCTTGATAATCAGATGGGCTTTGTTAATGCAAGGATAAAGATACTTTCTCTCCTAATGGATGAAATAGGCTTTTGCTGCCAACATTTGCTGGATACTTCAAGGCTTTAGGTGAATGTAATGGGCTGATGCCTTTAAATGCATCTGTTCTCCTGTATAAAATCACCATTTTATTTTGCCTGAGGGTCTTTTCAGCCAGTTAACCTCTGTTTTAGTTGGGATTGCAGGGTAGGGTAAAGTTTGAACCTGCAGAGAGGTTTCAACAATCTCAGCGTTTGTTACACAAATGACGTATTTTGGAGGATGAGGGTAACAGTTACCAGCACCATTTCACAGTCAGAAGAAACATAGTCCTCAAATGCTAAATTCAGTCTCAGCAATATTATATGAAGCATATTGTAGTAATGTGACACTTTCTTGGGAGAAGTTTCTGAAAGTGTGGTCAGCTCTTGCTGATACTGTGACCAGCAGAGGGCAAAATAAGATAATGAAGACTGCAGTTTTCTTTAGGAATTGTGTGTTTTATTCTAATAAAAGTGCTCTGTCAGTCCCACAGTGATCCCTTCAAAAGCCTGCGAATACATTTATGTGTTCCCCTCTTTTTCTTAAGCACCCCTCCCCCTATTACTCTTTTTTTTAAACAAGGGTCTCCTTTTGGCTTTTTGCATTTATCTCAGTTATGCTAGATCATTATGGACTCAATTTACCAAGGAGGATAACGTGCTTTCTGAATGATATGTAACCCATTCTGGGTTAAGAAGGTCAAGCAAGATTACTTTCTTTTTTCATCTTGCAATTAATAATAATAAGGCAGAGCATTAGATCAGGCAAAAGCATTTTTTTTTTTCAGAGATACATACACACACACACACACACACACATATGTTATTACATCTCAGAGTTTAAAATAATATGCCTTCTGAAAAGATTCAGTATTTTTCTGTCCTAAAGTTTTAGCCTGATTTTCCAGTTGTCTGGAAAGATCCATAGAAAGCTAACAGAAGCTCATACATTCTCATCAGTATTCATAGAGGGTTGGTTAGTTTGTTTGTATTAATCCGTAAGAAAAGGGAAAACAAAGAGTGATTCTGTATTTATAAATAAACATTACAGGAATATTTGCTTCAGCTCTGTTAGATGTACCTGGGTTGTACATGGGTTTAAATTGTAGACTTCATTCAGCCATGGTTTACACTCTGTTTATATGTAGATACTGAGGACCTGAGGCATTGAGATCCTTTTGAAGTCCTATAAATGTAAATGGAGCATAACTGGCCTTCTGAGACTGAGGCAACACTGGGCCAAAAAGATGCACTCAGAGAAATGCATTTCTGGTCTTCCATTATTCCTGTCTCTTGGGATGCAAAGAGTTATTTGGTCGGGGGAAAAAAAAAGTTAAACCGTATTTATTAAATGAGGTGCAGCTTGGAACTTTGTTGGAACAAGGGATGCTAATTTACATTGGTTTATTATAGGTAAACTATAAGGTTGTCAGACAATGTAAGAATTTTGGCAGGCCTCTCCCAGTATTATGTACTTTCAGTGTCATACTTTTGTATACAGTAAGGGATGATGCTGGCTTGCACATAATGAAAAATTACAGTGTCAGGATGTCAAAATAAAAAGGGACAAAGCTTGTAGTACAGTCTGTTGCCTCCTAGCCATTATATGTAGTACTTAATGTTTAATCTGAAATGTTAAATTCTCCTGATGTTTGTTTTTTGTTTTTTTTTTTCCTCCCACCTTACCCCATTTACTTTCAGGCTAGATCTTTCCGTAAGAAAGTTCCTGTGAAGGCATATCCTGCTTTTTTCTGTACGGTGGGTGTGATATCATGAACTCTTTAAGTGATGGACTCATGTCTGTGCTAACACGTTTGTGAAGAGTAGAGTATCAAATTAAGCATGGTTAACTAATGCTTCATGTGTTTATTTTGGGAAGATGTAGTACCTAATGTTTGTGAAAATCATGTGGGCCTGACTGTGGAACCTCATAGTTTTGATCAACAATTCTAAATCCTTCTTCTTTAACTACATCATTTTGCCCAAGATGTCTGTATATCCGTAGGCCATTGTTCTGATGCAGGGGCCAAAAATCTTGTCTATTTTTATAATTTGCTGTTTGGTCTAGTAAATCATCATGCTTCTCTTCACAAAGCCTGCCTTTTTTCATATTCTTTGAATATGATGGATATGCTACCCCTTAATAAAATGGGCAAAATGTCAAGCCTTTTTCCAGTTCCTCATTGTTTCATGTATTGCTTTTTAAACAATGCCTAATTATTTGTGTGCACCATATGGACTAAGCTTTTTTCTTCTCTTCTAGGTTGCTTTAGATGATTATTTATATAATATGCGAAAAGTGGACTTCAATATATTTCATCCAAGTTTACAAAAGAAGAGTACATTATTACCATTGCATTTATATGTTAGATCTTGGAAAAAAACATATTAAAGTTTTGGGGTTTTTTAAATGGGTTCAGAGTGCTGAGTTTTTTCTTCGATGTCTTAATTTGATAGAATTGTTAAGTGTCTAACTTCACACTTCTGCAAAGTGCAGTTCATGGGAAATAGCAGATGCGCATGAACTGTAGCTGTCAGCTTGCTGGCAGTAGTTAAGTTTGTTCTTGGAATATTAGGCTGATACCTCTGCTTCCATGTCTGCCAAGTCATATGTCCTTGTCTGGGATTACTTGTCTTGTCTTTCCTGTAATAACAGCAATATGATAAGAATTCTTCTTGGACAAATTTTGTGCTAATGGATACTTCTGACAGTTCTGACACTTTACTGAAGGAAAAAAAAAAAAAAACCAAAAAAAAAAGACTTCTTTCTTTGTGACCAAAAGCAATTACAGTAAATGCCTTATAAATCAGCTAAGTAATGCTGTTTAGTGCAAGGAGCAGACTTCTTGCAATTACTAATGAAGTTATGAGCACATATATTTGAATGTCAGGAAAAGCATTAGCTGTTTTAATTATGTAGTGTGTATGCAGAATTTCAGAATGGTGAAATAGAGTTGTAGTACTGAAATTATTTAACTGTGTGTTGAGATTGAGCATTTAAGTGACTGTAAGTAGTGGGAGGATAGCTTTACAATATAGGAAGAGAACCCTTAGGTGGTTTTTATCTTCGGTTCAGCCAAAGGCTTTTTCACTCTGTTCTTAGCTTGCCTGGCCTCTTGTCTCTCTGTTGTTGCCCACAGGTGTCATTGCAATGTGGGTTCGACTTCCCCGTTGTTCATTCTCACTGTGTTGCTCAGGACACCCTCCAGTGTGGCTTCCCTGAATTCCTTTTCTTCAGTACTGTGAAGGAACATATTCCTGAATGTTACAGGTCATTTTGGTCCTCCCTCTCTGTAAAGATACTGCTTTGTTTTTTTGGTGGGAAATGCCTGGGGGATTTGTACTCAGCATCTCTTAGGATCAAGGTAAATACTTCTGTTTGATTTGTTGTTTGGTAAAATAATACTTCTTAACATCCAGCTTGATTCAATTGTACAAATCCGGTAGTTTATTCTGCCGTCATCCTTGTTCTATTAAATAGCTGCTTTTTCTAGAGATTTTTTTTTTTTTTAAATCAGGGTTAATCTCCCCAGATGCTTGGTTGTATAACAGCATCCTGTATTTTAGTGTACAGTGCTACATAATGAATTTCTGAGAACAAGATTCGTGGCTTCTTTAATCACAGAAACTGTCAGCATGGCAGAAATTTTAGGAACCCATCATTAAATCCTTCACTTGGTGATTTTATTTTACATGTTTGAAGACAGTTTGTGATACAGATCTTGGTTAATTCTGCAGTTTCCTATTAACAAGACATTTCTCTCTGAATTTGTTCAGCTCAGGATCTGTATTACTAGAGGTGCAATAATCAAGGTTGATATGAAACTAGAAAAATCAGTATATACTGGATGGGGAGTATACTGGCTATTTTCTGAAATTAAAATCTTAACAGGCTCTGTCCACTTCTCAAGTTAGTTGCTGTATCTTATCATTGGTGTTCTTGAATGTGGCAAAGAGGTCTGGTGAAAAGAAAACATTTCCTTCCTATGCAGGCACCACAGCTCTTCCTGCCAAATGAAGAGCAAAGGCTTAGGCTCTGTTGCTGCTACCAGGCCAGCTGTGCATTCACTGTTTATTTTATGTTCTGGAAAAAGTATTACAAATGTCTCTTTCTCCAGTTGGTCCTTGTTTTGTTCCAGGTGTGCTTACCCAGGACAATAGAGGCAGCCCTGTCTGTCCTCTAGAAAGGAATCATTCTCCTGTAAAGTTAACTTTTGGCAGGAGTGCAGTACAGTAAGGGAGAAGGGAAACCATGCAGTATGACCAGTACATTGAGTTGCTACAGTGGTATCTTGCTTCCATGCCATAAGGCCAGTGCTTTGCTTCCGTGTTGAAGTGGAAGAAATCTTGACAATGTGCTTAAAAAGGCATCAGTGGAAGGGCTGATTTGTTCTAGTGTAGAAAAGAAGCCATGTGATGCAGTGAATGCTTAGCATGGTGAGAGGGACTTATCAGTGAATTAGTAAACAGGATATGGAATAAATAAATTCAAGTTATGACTTCAGTCACAAGAGAGTTTTGAGTGACCTCAGAAAGTAAAGCAGCACTTTGAATTGCAAATGATAGGAGGCTGCGTGAATAAGCAATCTGTGTCTCCTTTGTATTCTTCGGGGAACAGCTCTCTCTCTTGGATGGTCGAGCATGATTCTGCCCTTAGGGGCAATGTTGTGAATGGAGGCATTAAATATCTGTCAAACAAGGTAGTCTTAATTTGTCTGCTTTCACTAGCAGTATCTCTTTATTTCTCAGTATTTGGTGCCATATCAGAAATTCCATTCATCAGTTCTGATGATTTATAATTCTACATCCTGAAAAAAATTGTCCTATTTCTCCTTTTTGTTGTTGGTTTTAGTTTGGGGTTTTGGGGTTTATGTTGTTTTTGTTGGATCTGACAAAAAATTTCTTATATTCGTGCTAACCTATTGGGCATTCCTATCAGAAAAGCAACTAGCAAATCTGTTGCTAGCTGCTAATTACATGTTTGAAAATATTTTCCATGTATAGTTAGTCTGTAAAGCAGCAGTCTATTGGGTATTCTCAGTGACCTCATTGTGCAAGACATTCATGGTCTTGCTTGCTTTTGGTTAAGCACAAAATTGTATCTCCATCTTTCTCTTCAGAGCAGTTCACTGGAATCTGTTCCAGAATCTCTTTCCACTTAGAATTGTAGGTTTAAGCTAGCAAAACATAAGAATTTTATTAGTCCTGCAACAGATCATATGTTGTCCATGGTAGGTAACAGCTATGGGATCAAAAGTCCTGAATGAATTGAAATAGATCAGACATCACCTGACTGTGATTTTACAGTTGAATTGGCTTCCCACTTAGACATATAATAGTTTTAGTAAAATCAAACCAAAGAAAAGATTAATTTTCGAGGAAGAATGCAAAAATCTCTGTCATCGCTTTGGAGAAATGCATCCTCCAGATTGTCCCTGTTTCTCTGGCAGCTTAGTATCTGAATATCTGTATCTTATTTTGGTCCTCTCTAGTGTCAGAACATTCAACAGTACCAGAAAATGCTTTCCAGCCATAAACATAGGAACTGCTATACTGCAGAGGGGGAAGGCCATGCACTTTTGTCTGTGTTTTTCAAAAACACATTTGTCTTGTTTTTCAAAGGAAGATACAAGAGGAACCATTTAGATGAGTATGAGCAGTCTCCCAAAATAGGATTTTTTTTTTCTTACTGCTCTGATGCCAGGTTAAGAACTACAAAGGTGTAGTTATAAAAGAATTTAGAAGGGGATGCAGTGTTACGCTGAATGTTCTCAGAGTCTGTTTTCCATCGGGTTGCTGATCACAGTTGTGCGTTCTCAAAATATTTATCTTTCTATCTCAAAACATCTCCATCTTTTTTTCAGCTTTCATGAATCTTGCTCTAAGTCCACAGATTTTTTTATTTTTTTTTTTTAAATATGGCTGACCCCAACCACATTGAATCCATTGAGGTTGATCCAGTAAAAATTTGTGATAAATAACATTCACAGATACATAAATCAGGACAAAATATAGAAGCAGTCCTTTATGCTTCAGGCTATACATTGATTGGTATTTACTTTTATAGACAGGCAACAACTCGCATATAATCATTCACTGATTTATGTTCTCAGCTGAACCAAAGGGTGTTTAGCATTCTCCTCCAACAGGGGCATGTTCTATATTCAGTGGGTTAATCTATGGATATTTTTGTTTCCCTGTTCTAGGATAGGCTCCTCTGTATCTGCACAAAGTCAGAAAGGCAGGATAGATGTGCATTTCAGTTTCATGAATGAAAAACCTGAGGAGGATGCAGGTTTTCTTTCTTCATACTAGAGGGGAGACTTTTGAAACCTTAAATTGTGCAGTAGTAAATGGTTGAGCTTTTTTTGTCAAGTCAGCAGTGGAAGGCAACTTGTAAGTGGTAGCTACTCCTGTATAACCTGCTGTAAGGTCTAGGAGCAGCTACTTAAGCACTGCTGTCTACCTGAGGATTAATTTGCTCTGTGCATCTTGGGCTCAGCACACTCCCTTCTTATTCAAGCTGTTCAAACTTTCTATTTTATTAACCTGAAGACTCTAAAGGAATAATAATTTAAAAAAAAAAAAAAAGGTAAAGCTCCAACTGTCAGTCACTATCCAGGAGGTTGGAATTTGCCTAAAAAAATGGAAATGCTTTTTTTTTTTTTTTTTACATAAGGCACAAAATGCACAACTTACTTGAAGTTACAGGTAGGCAGTGTGTAACAAGACAGGGCATTTTTGTTAGCTTAGCTCTAACTGATTTGTCCTTTTATTGTTAGCTCAGTTCTAGTTCACTAGCCTAAGCATTTTTTTCTTTAAGCACCTAATGAATGGTATGCCCACTTAACCTTCATATTTACTGACAACTTGCTCTAATAGGTTGAAAGGTCTCCTTTTCCCAGGTAGCCACAAATGCATGTCTTCTGTTTGCTTTTCCCTTAGGGGCAGTATTTTAGCAGGAACAAATCAGGTCAATTCGGCATACAGATCTGTTATGCAAACATCTCGATGTTCCACTCATATTCAGTACAGTATCATAAAACCAGGGCTGACAAGGGACCCTGGCAAGTAAGTAAAATACCAGTCCATCTATCAGCAGAATAATCTATAGCGGTAGCATCCAGTTACTCATTTTATGGATGAAATGTTATGCATAAATAGATTACATTATGCATTAAATAACAGGATTTATTTTTATTGTCAGATTTTAAATTCATAATTTATTATAGTTGAGGAAGATGGCAGAAAGGACT